TGTGTTTACCACGTTTTCTTTATCCATTCATTTACTGGTGACATTTGAGTTGGTTCCACTCCTTCACTGTTGTCACTAGTGCTGCAATGATCATAGATGTGCAAACATGTCTTCAAGATCCTCCACTTTTCTTTCTTTCTTTCTTTCTTTTTTTTTTTTGCATTTTGGTGCTTTATTTATCCTAAGTTTGTTTTTAGTGCTGTATTATTTTTTCCAGCTTTATGGTCTGATTGACAAATAAAAACTGTATATGTTTTGGGTGTACAGTGTGATGATTTAATATATGCATACCTTGTGAAATTACAATCACTATCATGTTGATTAACCATCCATCCCCTTGCATGGTTCCCTTTTTGTGTATAGCAAGAACATTTACGATCTACTCTCTTAACAAATTAAAAGTATACCATACAGTATTAATCATTATAATCACCATGCTATAAATTAGATTCAAAACCTTCTTCTTATAACTCAAAGTTTATACCCTTTGAACAATATCTCCCCCATCTCCCCAGCCCCCGGTACCTGGAGACTCCCAGTCTACTCTCTGGCTCTGTAAGTTCAACTTTTGTAGATTCCAAGAAAATGGAGTAAATATATACAATGGAATAAAAAAGATCTTCCCATTTGCAACAACAGGGATGAACCTCATGGATATTATGTTAAGTGAAATAAGCCAGACACAGAAAAGCAAATACTATATGATCTCACTTACATGTGGGATCTAAAAAAGTCAAGATCCTGCTTTGAATTCTTTTGGGTATATACCCAGAAGCGGGATCGGTTGATCATGTGGTAGTTCTATTTTTAATTTTCTAAGGATACTCCATACTGCTTCCTATAATGGCTGCACTATTTTACATTCCCACCAACAGCGCACAAGGCTTCCAGTTTCTCTGTATCCTCAATACTTGTAATTTTCTGTTCTTTTGAGAGTGGCAATCCTAATGTATGTGAGGTCACTACAGACAGTTTTGAGAAATTCAGTACCCTCTCTGGGTCAGGACAAAGGGAAACCAGCTGAACTGGTTTAGACGATCTTTCAGATGGTTCTAAAAAAATCTCAGCAAATCAGTCGCAGCATAGGGTCCAAATGAGATCATGGACATGAAAAAATCATCTTTGTCAACTGAGAAGGGCCATTCAGCTGTGAAGCGGCAGATCGTGTAAAGGCAAAAGGGTCTGACTTGATGGTCAGGGTACCTTAGATTCATCACTCAGATTTGCTGACCACATGCTGTGTGTGACATTTTTAGTTTCTTCACCTGTAAGATGTAGGTGATAATTCTTGCCCCCCCCAACCGTCAGAGGGTTGATGAGAACACCAGAATAAATCATAGGAGATAACAAACTTGAAACAACCACAAGGGTATTGTTCCTTGCTAAGAGTGAGGGCTGATACCATTTGCTCCATTAATAAGTGAGATACATTGAATGCCACACTCTAAATGGGTTGATTGTATAGTCTGTGAATTATACCTTACTAAGTTGTTTAAAAACACACATACACAACCAAGTGAGGAACATAGAAGCTCTTCGATAAGGTTCATCTACATACAGTCTAAGGGAGACCCAGAATCCCAGAAAGGACATGGGCTTGGAGATCAGACAAACCTGGGTGCATCTGAATCTCAACTCAGCCCATGTAACTGTGAGATTTTAACTCTGTATGAGCTTTGTTTGGTTTACTCAAATGGAACATAGGATTTTTTTTTAACTTTCTTTTCAGGATTGTTGTATAACATATAATGAATCTGCTTGCCACGTAGTAAGTGTCTAAAAATAACTGTTATTTCTGTGTTGTTATCCTTTCCTGAGAAACATGGCCTTCCTCAAGTTAATGGTGTAACCCAAAGGCGGCCTAAAGTAGGAGGAAGAGGAAGAGGTGGGAGACAAGTGGGAGGAAGACCGGGTTTGTATTCACAAATACTCTTTTTCCAGAAACAAGCCATTTATCAAAGTACAGGAGTCTCGTTTACTGTCAAAACACAAGGGCTAATTACATTTGAAGAACAATGGACTACAAGAGCAAAAAAGACAGGGCCTGTTCAATTAATGGGGAAAGAAGGGGGGTCTCTAGCATACAATATTTTGGACATCAGATTGGAATGGTTTAATTAGCCACTGCTACAGACTTTGGATCGTCTGTTGTTCCAGAAGCCATTAGTCATCTGTAGTTTTTAAGCATATCATTTAGATTCTCCCATTCAACAAATACTTTTCGAGTACCCGCTATGCATCAAGAGCACTGGAGAGACACCACAGTCCAGTGGGAGACAGACAGCTTGGCCCACTAATGGGTGTCTCAAACTTCTTAGGTCTCCAACAGAGTTCTCATTTTATCCAATGCCAGGCTCCTCTCCCATGTTCCCCCATTTCAGTAAAAGGCCTCTCCATCTGTCCAGTGGTTCATGACAAACACTATGGGGTCATCCCTGAGTCCAATCCTTCTATTAGACCCTAGTCCTGTTGATTCTGTCACCAAGATCGCTCTTGACTCTACCCACACCTTTGTAGACACATGGCTGCTACTCCAAGGCAACATACAAGCTCAATAAGAATGTCTCTTAAGAGAAAAAAATAATTTTTTTTGTCTGCCTATGTCTGCTTCCCACTGCAACCACACAATATCCACACAACGTCCAGGGTGATATTTTAAAATGGTGAATCACATCATACCATTCCTCTCTTTAAAACCCTTCCTAGTCTTCCTGTTGCTTTCAGACCAGAGGCCAGAATCTCTGATATGGCCAACAAGTTCCCACGTGCTCTGCCCCACCCGCTCTCCCGATTGCTGGCAGTGCTCAAGGCCCATCAAGCCCTCTCTTGCCTGCGAGCCTTTGTCCTTGCACCTGCCTTCTGCACCTGCTCTTCCTCCATCCATTCCCAAGCCTTGTTCCTTCTCATCTTTCAAGCCTCGGTTGAAGTAACTTCCTCAAAGAGGTTTCTCCTGACTTTACTAAGTGACTTCTCCCAGTCACTCTCTAGCTTATCACCATATTTATTTGCTGCTCAGCACCCACTCCACTGGTAACCATCTGGTGCATTTGTTGGTTCACTGGACATTGTATTCCCACTAGTCAGTGGGTGTCCCGATGGTGGGGGCTTTGTCTACTCATGCACAGTTTTGCTCGCAGTGCTTCGTGCCATGCCTGGCACATAGTAAACCCTTCTCAACTATTAATTGGCTGGATGAATGAAGGTGGTCATGCGCAGGGCAGTATAAGAGTTCAGGAGAGGACATAAATCATTCTCCAAGGAGAATGGAGCTTTCAGTGAAGATGTGCTATGAACTAGGCTCAAAACATTGACTAGGGATTTCTAGACTAACAAAGGCAGAAATGTAGGAGCACAATGAGGGGTGAAGGATTGATAGACTGGAGGGTCAAATGTATCATAGCCACAAAGAACATGAGCAAAGGCACAGAGTCATTTCAAGAGACTGAAACTTTGAGCTAATTCTAAGTACAACCACCACCTCACTCACAGGGATAGAGAGGAAAGACAGCCAGGGTAACCCCAAATGAAAATCAAAACAGCATGAGAGTCAACTCAGCAATAGCTGGGAGTGGGTGATCCGTACTTAAAACACAATAGAGTCCTGGGGCTGCTCCATGGGGCTTACATAGCAGGAGGTGATGAGTCATATTTATTGGTCCCATGTCTTGCGAAGCAAGGAGTCCATTGTGTTGCTGAGCCTTACAGAAGCACAGGGTCTCACTTCATTCGTCTCCAAACAGAGCATCTGTGATCCAGGCTGGGTCTCTCCCCGGGACCTGCCATTCATCCTTCCTTAGCTCTTGCCTACGTAGCAAATCCCCGTGGAAGGAAGAGCGTGTCCCAAGTCCTGCCTCCCTGTGAATCTGGTTAATCAGCAAACTGGCTGGTCAGTCTTAGATAAATGAATGTTGGACACAGGGCTGGGGAGTAGCAAGGATGGAATCTCTACAGGTGACGTGAAGAAGTATAACATTTTGTTCTTCTATCTGTGGAAGGACTTCAGGCAAGGTATGATATGAGTAGTTGCTCTGGCCACAGTGCAGAGCTCAGATTGGAAAAACAAACAAACAACGACAAAAATCCAGAAGCAGGAGACCTGTGAAATGGGTGTGGGAAGCAAGACTGGACTTCTGAGGCACATTTGGGAAGTAGAAATGAAAAGCATTTGGGTGATCATTAGATGTGACACATAGACACGAGGAAGGAATCTGGGGTAACGCTCAGTGAGCTTATGTCACTGGGTGACTCTAGCTATTAATCAAAATAGGTAACATGATAGCAAGAATAAGCAGATTCAGGAAACTTCAGAGACTTTCTCAGTTTTCACATTTCTTCTTAGACTTCCAGCACTGTTAAGGATTTCGACACCTTCTGATAGTGGAATGCATTATTTCTCCACGGTGACTTGAATCCTACTTTCTCTTGCCATGCTTCCCACTAGGCAGAGTACCACCCAACCTCACTGTCATTAGGCTTTTAGCCTGTTTTTTGACCAACAGAATGTGAGCAGTTGGGACACACACCAGATCCTAATGGGAGCTATAAACATGTTCCTGTAGTTTGGTTCCTTTTAAGCATCACCCACCACGAGAGGCCCATGCCCCAGAGGGTGGCTGTTCCTTGAGAAGAAAGACATACAGAACAAGGCCAGGTCAAGGCCAGCCCAGGAGAGCCATACGTGACCTGCAACTCTGCTGTAATATAAGCTGGAAACTCACACCTCTGGGACGTGGGATTGTTTGTTGCTACAGGAAAATCCAACCATGACATTTCCAAAAACCTCAATGACCTCCAACCAATGATTTACGCTTTGTGGCTCCTAATTCCGTCATTGGTGAAGTTGTGCTAGATGATCCCAAACTCCTTCCTAGTTGAAAATTGTTTTGTTTTGTTTTGTTTTTAAGACTGTGTCACTGCTCTAAATGATAGCACAGTATGGGAGTTCAAGTGTCTTTCTCCCCTTTCCAGCTACGTAGGTTAATTAGGCAATGCCAACTTACCGAGCTCCAGACTGGCAGTTAATGATGCCAGACTAGCAGAAGATCAGAGTGCAGAGGACTGGGATGGTTTAAGCTGTTGCAACAAAACTATTCTGAAGACCCTGAGATTTAAAAAAAAAAAAAAAAATCTATAGAGCACAAACCTGCCGCATTCAGCTCCTTTGGTTATTTATACGAGCATTTCCCGATTCAAATTGCATACTCAAATCAAATTTCCCTGGTTTATGCCTTCTTCAGCAATTACTTAAAGGCAGTTTACCTCTCTCTGGAGGAACATAGCAGAAAGGCCTATAGACAAAATCTCGTTGACTCAGGGAGAGATAAACGAAGTCCAGTCCTGCAGAAGTCACTATGCCCATGGAAGGGAACACTGATGGGCCTCCTGGCTGTTTTTCAGCTTCACTGATGGGAAAGAATTTTCTAAGGAGGAGAGGAGGGCCATGGAAATTTAAGGAGAAGTGTAAACATTGGGGATGGGGGTGGGGTCGAAGAAGAGACCAGTTTCCCTTCACGGAGTTCTGTTGGTGAGGGTAAGCAGGCTGACAGCCTAAGGCTGCTCCCACCCCAAAGGGATTGAGAGAAGTCAAATGCAGACAGGAACATTGCTACAGCAGAAAGGTACTGGGTCCTTGAAAATATACCCCGAGCAAGAAGAGCCCTATTGCAAAACTACGCAATGTGCAAAATTTATCTTCATCGGACTGTCAACTTCTCTTTAACTCACTTCTCATCTTTTGGAACGACTCCGTCATCCTCCCCCAAAAGAGGCATCTTTTGGTCATTCATATATTCCGGGGAGGGCTTTCATTGGTTGGGACTGGACCACCTGCTCACCCTCTAACCAATAACTATGGCCCAGACAATGCCGTGTTCTGATTGGTCAGCTCTGTGTCATGGGCTCATCCGTTTATTTCCCTGGTCATTAATTCTACCTTACATTTCCTTCTTCACCCAGTTGTTCAAATAGCTGTATCTTATCTTGATGTGCCTCCCTGATATCTACTGCCTTTTCTTCCAGTGATAGCACTCTGGATTTATTTAGGGGAACAGCTTCCCGCTGTTCCCATTACATATCGTAGAGGTGAAGTCGCCCTTTTACTCTAGTTCCTCCATGCTACAGCTAGTCACAGGACACACACCTGACCAATCGGAACACTGCATTGTCTGGCGCACAGCAATTGGTTTGAAGATGGGCACGTGACCCAAGCACAACCAATGAGAGTGCTCCCTGGAATTTCCGTGGGAATTATCAAGAAAAAAAGATGGGAAATTCCAATAACTTACTGAGAACAGGTGAATCTAGGCGGGAAACATAAACATCAGTGAAATATTTGTAGGTCCCCAAAATGGAGTGGAATGAAGAGTCGGAGCTGTGATGTTGGTCTGGAATTACTAGCCTGGGCAACCCTGGGCAATGAACGTGTCGCCCCATCTGAACAATGAAGATGATAATGACCATGGTAGTGCCTTAGAGTCTGTGATGAGGCCGCACCCCCTGCCCGTCCAAGGGGCTGGAAAGGAAGAACCTCGGGATGGTGGAGTTGCGGCTGGACCTCCACGTCACTGTCCAAGAAGTCAAGAAAAGAGTCACCAGATGGGGCGCCTGGGTGGCTCAGTGGGTTAAAGCCTCTGCCTTGCACTCAGGTCATGATCTCAGGATCCTGGGTTCAAGTCCTGCATCAGGCTCTTGGCTCAGCAGGGAGCCTGCTTCCCCCACCCCCAGCTCTGCATGCCTCTCTGCCTACTTGTGATCTTTCTGTGTCAAATAAATAAATAAATAAATAAATAAAATCTTTAAAAAAAGAAAGAAAAGAGTCACCAGAACCACCTCTGACTGTGATGTGAAAGAGACCTACATCCTTGGTGTGTTAAAGTCAAAAGCGTGGGTCTGATTTTACTGCAGCATGATGGAGCCTAGCCTGACTAACATAATGAGCACAGATCCCTGGAAAGCCTGGGATATGAAGCCATTTTGCCAAGATGTGACTTCGAGTGGTGTGTTCTGAGCCATGCAGACAGTGATGGCCAAAGCAGATGCTGTTTCCATTGGCCAGCATCAATTTTGGGGACATTTCAGTGGTTTGTGGGGATGAGAATGTTTGAAATTGGGACTGTTCCTGTAGTCCGCCATAAGTATGATATAAACTCAGTGTGTCACCAGGAAAAGATAAGAGCCAAGAATCCAACCTCAGAAAGGGGCAAATCTGGACAAACCACCCAAGTTAAATGGCATACTGAAAAGGAGGCGGGCAGAAGTAAGTCACATTAAAAATCCATAAGAACCTAGAAAGAAAAGATAAATGAAGTAACTGGGCTGGTAATATCCACTGTAATGGAGAAAATATAGGCATAGTGATTGAAATCATGAGCTTTGGAATTAGTTTAATGCAACAAGTATTAAATGCAAAAATTTAATGCAATGGGGTTTGAATTCCATTTCTGTTCCTTGACTACTTGAGCAAGTCGCTTTATCTCTTAGCCTGAATTTTCTCATCTGAAATATGAGGATTAAGGGAGTCCCCACCTAATGGTGTGCTATAAGGATGAAATTTAACGATCCATGTAAAGTGCTTAGTACACAGTAAGAACTCAATAAATTATCATAATGGTATTATTGGCATTGTAAAATAAGGAGTGGACAAAGAATGATCTCTGGAGGAGACAAAGGAATTAAAGGAGAAGGATGATGGTATGGTAGTTGGGGTGGGCGCCAAGGACCACTAGCAATGAACAAAGAAGCAGAAAGGAAACAGCAGGTAGAAGATGACACACAGGATGAGAGGTGAGGAGCGCTGATCACAGAAGCGAGACTCTGTCTGAAACCCACAGAGGAGAAGAGGAAGGGGGAATGAGAACCTAGAGAGAATGTACCAGAAAAAAAACCACACACACACACACACACACACACACATACAAAGAAAATGAAAGCGGGCTTTATGCCAGTAGTGTGTGAACCCCAGAAAAATAAGGAGCAATCCAAGAGGAGGGAAAGAATAGAGCCAGCGATGAGAGGGAGAAGTAAAACACAGGCTGTCAAGGGAGGAGGGCTAAGAGTTCAGAGGAAGCCTTGAAAGATTAAACAGAAACACAGAAAGGTAGGAGAGGCACAGCTTAAACTAGAAATGGGTAATAGAAATAGCCTTCCAGCACAGAATGGGGAAAAAATGATAACGAATTCGAAAAAAGTTCTGGGAGCCAAAATTGGTTTCGTTAATTTTGGCACAAACTCATTTGGCAGCAGAACTGGACTTGAGCTGACATCAGATTATTTATAACATTTATTTATCCCACATCCCACTCAGCATGAACATTCACGTATTTCACCATAGTAATAAGCTAATTATGAAGTGCCTACCACAGACCCTGCTGATGTGTGTGTGTGTGGGGGGGGGTGTATGGTATGTGTACTGCATTATCTTTGCAATTTCCATAACATCCTGAGTCCAAAACACATATGGCCTAAAGGTTTCAGATCAGGGTTTACAGGCTTGTATTGGAAGACACAGGAGTGGATGTAAAGAAAGAAACTTGTATCTAAAAATAAAAGCTGATGAAAATGACCATTTCTTGAGTGTTTAAAACATACCAAAGGCTGGATACACAGTATGTTATTTAATCTCCAACAGTGTATCAGGTCCCATGTTATCTTTCATTTGTAGACACAGTAAGGGAGGCTCAGAGAAGCGTCTGGCTGTGTATTTACACATAACTGGCAAAAATAAAAAATTAGGATTTGAACCCTGCTGTGTGACGTCAGCATTTGCACACTTAAGCACTAAGCTACACTGCTCCCCTCATTAACTATAAGGAAAGAATGGAATTAAGTGTTTCTTGGGCCATCACTCTAAAAGAGTCATTCCTAGATGTGATCTTGCATAATTTTCATAACTCAATAAACTCACATCATTATTTCCCATCAAAGGAGCTAAGCAACTTGTCCAAAGTCACAGTTAACCAATCAGATACCAGATCTATTATCCTCTCCATTCATTGTGAAAATATAAAAGCTAGCTTGTGAGCATCTTGTTCAAAGGAATAAACAGAAGAAAGCTGGGACCTTGCTGCCTTTAGAATAAAGATTCTCTGGGATGACAGTCATGGTGCCAGCAGATGGTTGTGGAGCAGGGAGAACTTTGTTGCCCCAAAACCTCCATCAGCAGCCTCCCACCCCATCCCTTGATGTGGACAACTGGCGTTTTCTCATACTGTAAAAATCTACTTCTAGTCCAAACTTTCTTCCAGCTCAACTCTTAAATCCATTCTTTACAGAAATCCTGAAATCAGGGCATCTGGGTGTCTCAGTCAGTTAAGCATCTGACTCTTGATTTTGGCTCAGGTTATTATTTCAAGGTTGTGAGACTGAGCCATTTCAGGCTCTGTGCTGAGCACGGAGCATGCTTAAGATTCTCTCTCTCACTCTCTCTCCACTCCTTCCCCCACTTACACTCACTCCCCTTTTCCCTCTCTCTCCAAAAGAAAGAAAGAAAGGGAGGGAGGGAGGGAGGGAGGGAGGGAGGAAGGGAGGAAGAAAGGAAGGAAGGAAGCAAGGAAGGAAGGAAGGAAGGAAGGAAGGAAGGAAAAAGAAAGAAAGAAAGAAAGAAAGAAAGAAAGAAAGAAAGAAAGAAAGAAAGAAATCCTGAAACTAGATTACAGAAATAAAAATGCTAAAAAAAGTATGTGATAACAGTGGGATGAAAATTTCCCAGGAGGGTAAAATAGATAATCAAAACAAATAAGGGGATAAAACAGATGATGGCAAAACAATGAGAATTTAACAAGGAATGGGTATATAAATTCTGTGAAAATTCTATCAATTATGATAACAGCAGAGAGTCTGCAAATGCTCTTCATGGTTTCACAAAACTCTGTAAGGCTTAAATTGACAATAGGTGATACTGAATCCAAAGATCTGGGTCTCTAAGTGTCCTCCAGCACCCAGAGTTTGATTTTGAACAGTTGCTCTAACCTCTCCGAATCTGACCAAATGCTCTCCATTTCCTGCAACCAAGCAACTCTTAGCTATATCGCATGCTTTTTGTGTGTGTGTGTCTCTGTGTGTACACACAACATACAAAAGGAAACATTGTCAACTTTTA